GTTGTGTAAACAAACGCTAATCTTATCATTCCTTCCCTGGTGGAAAAAGGTTTTAAAATAAACTTTAATTCTGGAAATGTTTGACTTGTATTCCACAAAATATCGAGTTATAGTGAAGTCGTACATTCAGAGTTGTGTGAGAGCTGAGAGAAAATAAAATCACCGTCGAAAATGTTCTTACAGTCATTTCATCGATCACCATTACAAGTATTACGATTACGAAAATTGTGACAATTGATCAGTCTGTTGAATGACTTTTAAACATTTCATCTGCAAGGGCTTTGTTTTAGTTTGTTTTAGATATATATGTATATATAAATCAAGAATTCCAGCGAATACAGAAGGAGAACAGCATTCTTTACAAGCAGTTCAGTGTATTAACGCGAATTGTTCCTATTTATCATAATTAACCGACATCCGGTCCCAACAAACACTGGCCGCACCACATGAGACCCTAAATGGGCTGTCATCATGAAATATACCAAAGACTGAAAACAAAAACTTTACTCAAGGTCTGATAACTACACGATAACACTATTATACTTCAATCTCAGATGTATTTTCATTGAGCTTCCAACATCTCGCACCATCTTGACCAAGATGCTGTAATTCAAACACAATTTTTTCTCTCGTGGTAAAGCCTGTCACGTCATCACTGCCCACGAAGCTCTTGCGCAAATGGTTGAAATTTCGTAACAGATCTAAGGAAAGTTATTTCACGGACGAGTCTTGAGCTTTCATACGTGCTCTCATCAGAAGTTATTATTTCTTGTCATTTTATGGCTCTCTGTAGCTATATAACGCTAGTTGGTAAGGTGACCCCTTGCGGGCGATCTCCTGATTATCCTGGTCAGGTGGAATGCATTACACTCGAGGATTGCACGAAAGATGTAACTGGACATCTATCGACTCTTGGACTGAGTGCAGATGAAGGTTCTAGAACTGAAACGAAGCTGCTATTAGCCAGAGCCGGTAAATATTGATTTTGTGTTTTCAGGTAACTTTACTGCGCTTATGAATGAGTGCTGCAACAGATTTAATTGGTGTTTTATTTTTTGTTTACAGGTGTTTTCTCATTTGAGCAAAAGCATCTTACCCTGACTATTTGCCCACGCCATAGGGCAGACTTTGGCATACGTTGGAGGACTAGGAAAACCCTTTGTGCAATTCCCAAGGATCTAGCGACACATAAGTCCTCAAGTGCCAAAGGAAGCAACCGTGTGGATAGCCGAAAATCGATGTATATTTTTTGCAACACCAACACCTTAGTTCCAGTTGGGTCGCGTAAGTTGAATTGCTTCTGTTGATAAATGTTCTCATGAAATTGCTTTTTCTCACGTTTATTTGTAATACCTTACACAAAAAAAAGCACTATAAGTTTCAACTTTCTCAAGCTAGCAAATTTTATATTTGTGAGGAAACTGCAATTTATATTGCCAACGTTTTTTTCTCGTCTGAGTAGCTGATAATCCATTGATTGATGACAGATTGATTACTTTATACCTAGAAATAGTAATTGATATGAGTTATTTACTTTGCTTTTTTTTAATAAAAGCAATTTGTAGGCGATGCGACGAGTTTATCTGCAGGCAAGTTGCAGATGAACAGACGCCGGCAGAGGGCGCTGGAGCAAGTACTGTGTCTACCCCTAAAGAGCCTCGAGTGGTGCAGATACCTGAACAACAGACAATGGTAAGTTTCAAATATGAATTGATGATCTCAATCTTGTTTTTTAAAAGGAAAAGAGTCATTTTTAGAAGAGCATAGAAATTGAAAAAAAAAATCGAGGAAGAAAAAAAACACGTGACAAACACAAACACAGCGTGACAAACACAGTTGTTAATCTGGGACAAGGCTCCTTCGTTGACCAGTAAAACTCACTGCTTTTCGGTCACTTTTTTTTATTTGAGGGGTGGGGAAGGGGAGGGGTGCTATGCCGCACTTTGGTAGGCTAATTCCTGTCCCACATTTGTTTGTTTTCTGGATGTCCCACAACAGTACCTGGTGCTGCTGAGATTTTTTATTACCCGAAACTGATTCCCTACAAACATATACAAAGAAATCGGTTATAGAGATTTGATGCTTATAGAGCAAACCTTTTCGTAGGTTCATGAGATGGAAACAGACTGTCCAGGAGAGGAATCAAGTGCTGGCAGTGAGTCATCTTCTGATGGTCTAGAGACGGACTTGATGTTTCTGGAAATATCATCCCAGGGGTTGAAGGATGACGAGACGTTTCTCAGTCCCGATACTGCAAGCCTCGTCTCCTCAACGAGTGAAGAGAGCATCACCTCAAAGCCAAATTCCCGTGAAAAGTTGAACGAGTATCTGGTGTCCAAAAACATTGAACCTGTCTCTCAACCTTTGAGTGGGAAAAGGCCAGTGACAGCACTAAGCTTCGGTATACTAGACGAACCGCAGATATTTTTCTTCTGTGCTCCACGACCTAACACCCAGTTGTGCAGGTTCTCTTTGGCAAGCAGTTGTCTCTTATCCTGCCATGAACGAAGCACTCGGGCTGGACGAACTCTCCGAAACTTCCAAATGCTACCTCCAGGTCTTAGCTGAGGCATATGACAAAGCCCATGGGTGGGACACAAGACGGCAAATTCTTTCGATGATGAGTGGTGTTTCCAATTATAATGATATCTCGAGATTCATACCTGGCTTAAGTAGATATCGTTTTACCATAGCTAATCTGCATTGTCTTCAGCACGGAAGCGGCGCTTCAGTGACCCCCCAGCCTTCATCAAAGATAAGAGTCGACCCAAGACAACTGGATCACTTTTTATCTTATATAACAAGCCCCCATTTGGTGCAAGATCTGCCATTTAGACAAAAAACACTGAAGCTCTCCTCTGGACAACTGGTTGAAGTACCCAATGTTATTCGCACTATGATACCGCAAAGGATAGTGCGTCAGTATACCCAGTACTGCAAAGAGACTGGATTTGAGGCGTTCAGCGAGCGGACGATGCTGCGTGTTCTAAATGAATGCAAGGCCTCGACCAGAAAGTCTCTCCAAGGCCTTGACTATTTTGCAGCAGACGGGGCGCGTGCGTTCGATGAACTAGAAGGCTTGGTTCTTCAATCGGGGGAGCTTGGTCGTGGAAAGGAGTGGCAAGTGCGATACGTGAAATCATTAAAGGTCGCCAAATTCTACCTGAAGGGTGATTTCAAGGTAAGCAACCGAAAGTGTCAAGAGTTCCAAGAAAATTGGATTATGTTTTTCAAGCAGGGTTATCTTATTTCACAAATGGATGGAAGCATGGCACGAAAAAAACCGTTCCGATGACAGGTCCACCCTGACTGGGAAATATACGTCACTCAGGTTCACGTGAGCGCTTCTTCTCCCGTTGTAAGTCATTGCAGTGTATTTGCTCTGAGTGACACCGAAGATTCTGACCTGCGGCAGCAATGCAAACACAACCATGATGAGCTCTGTGACCAATGTGAAAGCTTGCATTCGACCCTGAACGACATATCTACTGCGGTCGATGAAGCATCTTTTACCACAGAAGAAGACAAAGACGAAGCTTTGTTTCTCGTTAGCTCTGCTACGCTTGCCATCAAGTCATGGAAGTGCCATTTGCTGAGGTCGACCCATCAAGATCAGGCTCGTTTGGACGTCATCGATGCCCTTAATTCTGGAACAGTATTCCTCGTAAATGACTGGGCCATGAAGTTCTTGCCTCAGAGATACCGCGAGTCACAGACAGACTGGTTTGGTAAGCGGGGTATTTCTTGGCACATATCTGTGGTATACAGACGAATGGAGGGTGTGCTACAGTGGCAAGCCTTTATCCATGTGATTCAATCCTGTACCCAAGGAAGTTCTGCTGTTACCGCGATTATGCAACATGTTCTAGCCACATTGAAGCAAGAGTATCCTGAAATCAACAAGGCCTACTTCAGGCAAGATAACGCCGGCTGCTACCACTCCTCCCGCACGTTAACGAAGTGCCAAGAAATTTCAGCGAACACCGGAGTGAAGATAGTCCGCGTTGATTTCAGCGACCCGCAAGGCGGGAAAGGGGCTGCAGATCGACTAGCTGCGAGCTGTAAAAGCCACATTAGGGCATTTATTAATGAAGGCCATGATGTCTGCACCGCCAGCGACCTGAAGGAAGCTCTGCTATCCCATGGCGGTTTGGAAGGTGTACGAGTGGTTTCTCTGGATACCATCGAAGAAACGCCAGACGATGTGCAAACCATTACAGGAATCACCAAGTTGAACAACTTTGAGTTTAGTTCAGTGGGCTCTATTTCCTGTTGGCGTGCATATTCCGTCGGCCAAGGGAAAGTGATCAAAATTGAAAAATCCTCTTCTGGTGAGTTAATGGTTCTTGAATGAGCCCAGGCCTTTCTGCTAGTTTATGACAGTCTGTTCTGTAAGGTTTCTATTAATAAGGGAAACATTTTATCCGCAATGCATCATAAAAGACTTTCCATAAGAGATTAAATGTTTACAAAACGCTGCTCAAACAAAAAAAAAACACAAGAAAAAGGGGTGAGTATTTTAAATCCCTCTTACACGGTATTCTGTCGTGGGCTGCCTTTGAGGGCTACGCGTTGATGCAAGATAATTATTTCTTAGCTGTGTGGCTGTCATATTTATATTTCTCTTATATCTTTTGAAGGTCCTGGACAAGGGATTCTGCAGCCATCATTTTCTGCAGGAGATTTCCGTTCCTATAAAAGTACCCCCCACAAATCGTCAGGGGAAGAAAATGTGTCTGAAGAGACAGCTTCCATAGAACGTGGTCAGGCAGCAGGGGTGTATTCATGTCCTCAAGACGGCTGCACTCGTGTTTTTCAAAGGCTTTCAGCCTTAGAAAAGCACTTGTCACTTGAAAAAATGTACCAGGGTACCAGAAAAAAATTCTTTAATGGACTTGGCAAAAATTGGCTACAAATCGTATTTGGTGGAAGGTGTGGGAAAGCTGCCATCGCTTCAAGCCCCTGTACGACAGGAAGATTCTCGTGTTTCTCTGAAAGAAGGATGGGCTCTTAGAGTAGTAAGGAAGGCTTACAGGTTCAGTGAAAAGCAAAAGTCGTACCTTTTATCTAAATTTCGAATAGGGCAGACGACAGGCCACAAGCTTGACGCAGAGGTAGTTGCTCGAGAAATGCGGCGTGCCGGGGCACCGATGGTGCACGACTATTCCAGTCATCGGAATTCCTCACAACCACCCAGATCACCTCCTTCTTCTCAAGACAGACTGCCTTAGTACGCCAGAGAGATCCTGATGAGGCTGATATCCGAGCAGCTCAAGAGGAGAGTAATTTTAGCGAAGCAAAGGAGACTGTTGCATCAATACAACTTGACCATCCCCTGATCTACGATCAGTACGATCTTTGTGAAATGGCGCTAAATGACTCTTTGAAGATCTTGAAGCTACCCATGCTGCAGCACATGTGTGAAGACCTTGGCCTCGAAATACCATCAAAGCCCACGCGTAAAAAGGCCCCGTACTTGGCTCTACTGAAAGAGATTGTCAGCAAATGTACTTTGCCAAAAGTCATCGTGATGCTGACTTTCTCTTTAGTTTAGCAGAATAGAAAAGTGAGGAAGAAACGAATTAACGGTGACTCGTTCCTAATCGTCAGTTACTAGTTATCTCATTTTTTAAAGCTCGTAGAGTAATTAGAAGTTCTTTCGTTTTGTTCTGTTTCTCTTTTAATCATGCCAATATTGACCCTCACTTTCCTTTTCTGGTCTTCACATCGGTAATGAAGTTTACTCATCTGGTAGCTGACACATGCAAACTGACAGACGTGAGAGTATTCAACCTACATTTCTTTCCGCTCATTTTGAAGTGCGGGATTTCTTTCTAGAATTTAACGACATAATTATTTCATTTGCGGTTTCTACGCGGGTATGTTTCAGCACCCCCGACACGTTTCCAATGGCGTTACGTTGCGTGACATTGATAATCACTAGGATAACAAGAACTGTCGCCTTGCATTTAATTACTTTGAAGGTCAAAAGTCGCCTTTCCATGTATTTAAACCTACAGAAAATGAGTTCTCAAAGTAAAAGATAAAAAAAAAATCTAATTTATCAGCATGGAATCAAGTACTAATCTACTAAGTAGCTTCTCTCGAATGTATCTTTTGCATTACTTGAATGTGAGTTGGTGCTAATGTAATATGTACTTCACTTGCAGATTTTTAGCCAAAAAATATTTTGTATAACCTTTTCAAATATCTTACGGAATAATTTACTTTACATTTTCCGAGCTACAAACCGACACAGCAGAGGCCGGATTTAATTTGGAGATTTAACAACTCGATATGATTAAATTACCTTGTTGTTTGTTTACACACTTTGCATCATTTTGCTCGCTCAAGTCACAAACACTTCTGCCATTTTCGAAAGGAAGCAATGCGATTCCGAGCATCACACTTTCCACAATGAATGGAAAATAGCAATATTTCACGAATATGTTGTTGAAAATCTAAAATATGTGGTACCAGGTACATTTTTTTCGCGTGAAATATCACCCGTTTTTCGCTGCCATTTTACGCGGTCTGTGAGGATGTTCTTTCAAGGGCTTAAGTAATCCCAAAATCGATGTGCCCAAAAAAAATCACTCACTAGAATTGAATGAGAATAGCTGTCCTAATATCGTGTGAAGTTTGGTGTTGATTGATTCCATTTTCATCCTTAAACGGGGCTTGGTTTTTGCAGTTAATTTTTGACTGTGCGTCATGCGGAGCCTGAGCTCCGGAAGCCTGAAAACCGCGTTTTCAGATTTTCGCAAATTTATGAAAATTTAATAATCGCTGAAACTTAAAAACATAATTTTTGAAAATAGTTTATCAAAGGGTATCTTTGAGCAAAATATGAGCAATTCACCAAAATGGTCGTTGACGGAAAATTCTCGATCCTGACAGGCAGCCATTTTTAAATACTCCATCTCAGTCCCTCTCGACCGAGCTAACTTTACTGCATTGAAGCAAATGCAAATTCTTTTCACCCTGCTCGTTGCCTGTGATGTAGTAACTCCCCTCCTTCAACCAAGATAGTTGTTCGTGATTTTTCTACCTACTAATTTTAAGATGTGGTCCCACCCAAAAAGTATGTCCAAAGGCGAGGTTAGGAAGATGGATTTATTAGGAGAAAATGGGAGAAGGGCGATAAATTCCTGCGTTAAAGTTTGTATTTGTCGGAAGATAGAACCATGGAAGAGGTATGACAAGGATGAAGCCATGTGTCGAATTCTGGGCTGCAATCTCATTGACGTGGATCAATACGTTGACTGGGATCGAGCATTGAAGGTAAAGGACTTAGACATAGGTGATATCCGCTACATAGTTTTGAATTTGGAAAATATGGGCTCGCAATCGTACGGAAGGAAACGTGACGAAAGCAAGCTAGAAATGGCAAGGAATCAGAAAGAAACGATCGAAGCTGAATACATCGATTCTGCTGAAAATATGGAGATGGTTGAACACGGAACTGGCACAGTCATCCAGGAGCACTTCGTGGTAACATGTCGACATGTGGTGGAAACCGTTCTGTTTGATAATAGTAACGAATACGTTGTCTTTATTTCTAACGAACAGACGAAGAACAAATTGTTTTGTAGGGTAATCTATGATGATGCCGCTAAGGATCTGGCTCTTCTTCATTGTCCAAAACTGAATGCAAGTAAAATTTGCCCATTACAACTGTCCTACGAAGTCCAGAAAGTCGGATTAAAATTTTTCTGCTATGGTTATCCAAGCAGCCATCATGGATCTAAAGCACTATGTGTTGATGGTATGATCTCTGGCACAAACCAGGAACGTTATGGACGCCCAGAATTGATGGTATTATGTAGCTCAGGACTCAATCATGGTTTTTCAGGAGGACCTGTACTTCTTAAGTACGATTGTGAAATGATAATGATTGGAGTTGTTAAAGAAAAACAGATTGAACGAAGGTTAGCACGAGAAGAGGAAGAATTTCTAGGACAAGTTTATGAAAAATACGTTCCTAAAAATGTTGATGACTTGACTACAGAGAAAATTCATGAAATACTAGAGCAAATAAACCAGAAATTGAATGAAGGAGTAAGAAACTACCCATCTGGGTTAAGTAATGCCATAACAGGAGCTACAATCAAGGAGTTTTTAAATGGGGCCAGTGGAACCCATAAAGGGTGGGATTGTGAGGAGCTGAAGGAATTGACTGTAAATGTGCAATCTGCATCATCCACCACCTGTTCATGAATGAAACTCACAAATGACAAAGTTTTCATTTACAGTTGAAACTAAAGTTGTTGGAACACAGAGGTTAATTTAATTTAATGCACATGACAGCTCCTTTGAAATTACAACTAGAAGTTTCTGACAGTTGTGATGCATGAATTAAACTTCAAGTAAACTGTATGGTGAGATAATCTGCTGTATAACTAAATATTTGGGCATTGAAACACTTAATTATAAGAGGTAAAAAGATTTCTCGTAAGTCTGATGAGATTACCAGTATTTGGTTGTTTTTAATTGTAATTATCTTTCCATTTGTTAAGATACTCAAAATATAATTAACAACTAATATTTTCTATTTTCTCAGAAGTTGCTACAGTGGTTTGTGCAGAGATTCCAACCCTCCCGATTTGATCGGGAGTCTCCCGATTTGATGTCTTGCCTCCCGCTCTCCCGATTTTTACCAAATTCTCCCGATTTATCATAAAATTCTGAAAACTAGGGGAAAATTGCTAATCTTTAGAATTTTTGGCGATCTGTCACTGTGAAACACTCATATTATACTTACTTTCTTCGCGAAGAGCATTATGGTATGTTATAACTCAGGCCGGAATGATGTCAAAATTCAGGAAATGGCACTTGAGAGAACCTAAATTTGCAAAATTTCCCGGGGGCATGCCCCCTGACCCCCCTAGAAGCTCGCGCCTTTGGCACTAATAATTACTCCCTATTTTCCATCACATGGGGTTGGAATCTCTGTTTGTGTCAAGGTGTGTTTAGAGAAGATGATTAAATAAATAGAAGAGCAAAAATAGCTGGACTGTGGATAGAAAAAGTCCAGGAGAGCCTGTAGGCATTTAACACCTTATTTTCATCTCAATCGGAGTCAGTATTTAATTAAATAGTGATGGTATAGTTGCTGTGATGGAAAACTTGTGTCGGACTATCATTGCTTATCGTACAATGAAGTAGTCAAATTAATTATATTTCATAAATTTGATTTGATTTAATAGCTAAATTGAATCTGTAGAAATTTGAGTCAGCTCTACTTATGTTTGTAAGTAATCTTAAGACAATCTTTGTAGACAGTGTTTACAATTAGCATTTAAATTATTGTGTTTTAGTGCATCATAAGTACTATAATGTGGTCTGGCCCAGTTTAGATATAAAATTTTTCATGAGCACAGGGATTAGGAAGGTTTAACAGGCAAATGAGCCTATGGCCCCTATCATTGGAAAGTTATGGGCCATTTATAAAACGTTTGGGCCATTAGGGTAAATAAATGGGCCAGTAAAAATTTTAACAAAGGTTTATTGCTTGTGTATTACAGTCTATACCTATACAGAGACATGGTTTTAGGCATGAAAAACCGCTGCCATGAATAACCATCCGCTATATTAACTTCAAGTGATCTTCAAGGTTTTTGAAATGTCGTGTGACCACCAGAACAAAACGGTGATGATAAATTGCTATCAACCATTCCGCAGTTCAGTAATAGCTCTTATCGGAGTTGAGCACGCGAAATCAGCGGTCTCCGGATGAGCTTACGCCAAAACGAGGCTATCGGGTCTAGCTCGCTCTAAAGTACAAGAGTTACTACAAAGTACAAGGAAGCAGAGAGGGAAATTAGTAGTGGCTTGGTATTTACATAATATTTTCTCCAGTTTTTAGTTTCTTTATCCATGGTGAAACATTGCATAGCTTTTGGGTGTCAAAACCGAAGTTTCAAAGCGGAATGGAAGGACTTATCATGGCATTCGCTGCCGCTGTCAAACAAGAATTTGCTGGCACAATGGCTCGTGAAACTGCGTCGAGAGAACACTCCGGTAAACAAAAACTCTTATGTCTGTAGTCAGCATTTTGAAGCTAATTGCTTCATAAACCAATGGGAGGACAAAGAATTCGCTTGAAGCCAGATTCCGTACCGACAAAGTTTATATTTACTGTTGAAAAACCAAAGAGGAAAGAGCCCGCTGATCGAGCAACGTTGAACACAAAGAAAACAAAAATAGAGAAATCGCAGCAGCATTCAGCCCCCGAACCGATAAACATTGAAAACACCGATTTTAAATCTGTTTCAGATGGTATGGAAACTGAACATCTCGAAAGTGAAGGTTTATTTTAAATTGTAGATGAAAACTGGGAACATCAACTTCAGTTAAAGAATGACGAAATCTCATGTTTACTTGAGAAATGGCAAACTAAGGAGCGCGAACTGAACAAAAAAATACAAAAGCTGGAGAATCAACTTGAAGAAGAAAGAAGTGCCAGAAAGGAACTGGAATTATTAATCGAGAAGAAAGCCTTCAGAATCGAAACTGTAAAGGAAAATGATAAATTATTAAGATTTTACACTGGATTTGAAAACTATGAAGTGTCTTCAATGGTTCTTGACTTTCTGGGGAGGGAGACAGCTGATCACTTGGACTACCAAAACACGGAAATTTAAGAGAAATCAAGCACAAATATAAACCTGGGCCAAGTAGGGCTTTGAATATCGAAAATGATTTTTTTCTGGTACTTTGTCGTTTGAAAGTGGGGTTGCTTGAAGAAGGCTTATCACTCAGATTTGGAGTTTCCCAGAGTGTGGTTTCCCAAATTATTAATACCTGGATCAAGTTTATTTATTTCAGATTCAAAGAACTTGATGTATTTCCTTCCAAAGAGATTGTTAAATTACACCTGCCTGAATGTTTTTGCAAAAAGTATTCAACAACTACTCTAATAATTGATGCTACAGAGATATACATTGAAAAGCCAAACAACCCAGAGGCTCAACAAATAACATTTTCTTCATACAAAAATAGCAACACCCTGAAAGCCTTGGTTGGTATTGTACCAAAAGGGGGGATTTCATTTGTTTCAACCCTGTATGGTGGCAGCATTTCTGACAAGGAACTAACACAGAAGTCAGGCCTTATAGAAAAAATACAGTATGGTGATGTTATCATGGCTGATAGAGGTTTTAATATTCTTTTTATTTTATCAAGCAGTTCTAGTGAGACCACTTTATTGTGTTTATGCTTTTTGTTCACACTATATTCATCTCCTAACTATCTGATTTCAAAATGGCCATGAATTCTTCTCTGAGCTCACAAAAGTTAGCATATGTGCTAGGAACCTCTAAAGTGTAGCTACAGGTGTGGGTAATAGGCCTCCTCTTTAGACCTTCAACATTAGTAAATGATATTGTCAACCTGTCTGTGACAAGAACACCAGATGCTGTTGTAAATCTCAAAAAAAATTTGGTAAGCTTAGTCTCATCAAGCCCCCTAAAAGAGTCTCTTGAGGTGGGCCAGTGTTTTGGTCTCAGCTGGTGTAGCCGGACTAGCTTCAAGTAGGCAATAATTTGAACATTGGTTTGATGGAAGAATACAATTGATGTAATGATTTTACATCTGGGAAATAAATCTTGAGGTGAACAAGAATTGGCTGCTAGCAGTCACTCACACATTGGGGTTTTTTTGGGGGGTTGTAAGCAATCTCTTTCATGATTTCTACTAAATTGCTCCAAAGGGCTCCAGGTATCTGATGTACACACTCCCTTGACCTGAGAGCTTTATTATTCTTTCACCATCCATTCCAACTCCCTTTGCTAGTTTAGGAGTTACTAGAGTTATAATATATATAATAAGCCTATAAAGAACTCAGTGACAATTACAAAATGAAGCAGGTCTCACCAACACCTCCCAGAGAATGCATGACTTAGTTAGCCACTAAAAACTAGACCTTATCTTGAAATTTTGTCTTACAATAAATGCATATTAACTTTCCATATTAATATAATTTTTAGTATTAGCTACTTATCTCATCGAGCAAGAGGAACCAAAAATAAGTTACCTTGAGGTATTCGGCACAAGAGCTCTGCTGCAATCAATGGGCTTAATGATGGGACAGAGGAGGTTGAAGCTCTGATGGTAGCTGTCAATGCTGCCACATTTCTAACATCACTACTGTGAAGATTTTTTATGGCTACAAGAGCCTGTTTAACCATGACACACGCAGAGATGTGCTGCACGTCTTTGATTCATTGTTAGCTGCCATTTTGTTCGAGTCTAAGCGCAATGCAAAGAGGAGGTCACAAAGCTAACCCTGTAAAAAGTAACAAGTTGACCAAACTGATTGAAACCAAAGTAAATTAATAATATACAAATAACTCTACACATACAACAAACATTGTTTTTGGAGCTTAAACACCTTTCACAAGGGCCTCTTCAGCAAAGGCGAAAAGTGTTCCTCAGTTAAGTTAATTTGCAACATGACATTGAAGGTTAAGAATTAACATGAATTGAGATTTTGGTTGTCACCCAACAAAACCAAAACTTAACATCAGACAGTGCTAAAAGAGAAGTACCAGGTCAACCAGTGCTTAGCCAACTTCTGGGTTGGGTACAACTGTTTCCACAATCACTGCATGAACCTTTTCCCTCACTTTACATTTAAGCCTGAATGTGTAAAAATAACTAATTTAACATCTCAACTGCATGTAAATGTTGTACTCAACATGTCATGGATATTCATACAATGTTACTATTTAACTGTGTCAAATAGCTGTCAGAAGACTAGATTTTGCAACAGGTCATGTGGGCTCAATTGGACTAATATATGTAACATGTTTCAATACATTATCCATCACTGTTTAATTTAACAGTTATTGGAAACTTGATTCAAATGATTTTAATTTTCTTGTTCAAATTTGTAATCATACCAACATTGGATAATTAGCAAACTTTCTGCAGGTCAGCACTGGGCACGAACTGGAAACCAAGAGGCATGTAGTCTGACCTCATGAGTGTGTCTCTAAATAGGGCTTGCACATTCCACAAATAAAGGTCTCACTTTTGCCCTGGTCTTCAGGGCAAGGGGTGAGCTGAGCCAGGAGTACTTCCAATTGAACTTAAAATTTTGAAACAAAGAGGTAAGCTGCAGTAGGTTAAAAACATAATTTTTCTCAGGAGTAAAGGCAGCCCAAAAGTTTGCTTGCCTTTCTCCTGAAGTAAAAGGAGAAAATAACTTCTCCCAAATTTGCACTAGAGTGTCAGAAGGGTTGGTTGACTTCCTAACAAGATTGTGGACAAACTTGACAAAGTACTCATCAACAACATTAAGATACTGTGAAAATAAATTAAAAACATCTTTGCAACTTTTTCACTTCCAAAATTAAATGTTTAATTAGCCAGAAAAGAGGAGCCTTTTTATAATTCCTCCTGTGGGAACAAAAAACATAATCCAGAGACTGAAAATGGAAAAAAATAATTGATTACAAGGTTAGTCTTGAACAAAATACTGTAACTGTTCAAGGCCAAAGGAATGTAGTTATCTAAAATATTTAGTACAATACTGTACTGAATGTTTTTGACCAGTGAAAAACAAGATTTAAAGACAGTTCTTACTAACATCCATCCACCATACAAAAGTTGAAGAAGAAACTTGACATGCCACAGCTTAGATTTATCAGCCAGCTTCTTGCCAGAGAAAACAGACTCATATGCAATTCTCATAAATGACAGGAAAGCAATCACAATATCCTCATCAGCATTAAGGTCCACATGCAGAGGTCTTCAAATGGTAATGACTGTACTAAGTGGGGAAAGTGACCCTGGGAGATATTGCTTGACTGGCTTTTTCATTCGCTATTTGCCTTGGAAATTATTGACCAAGCCAGTCATCTGGCATTAAAACAGTAGACTTGGGGAGATATTCTTTCAGTTTAGTTTTCAACACAATATCTAAAGCATCTCATAATTATGCCTACTTTTTAAAGGCATCTCAACAAAATCAATTAAATAAACATCCTTAAAAGAATGAAATGAATGAGATTCCTGGAAGTCATGGTTCTCCATTTGTTGTCTGCCCATGACTGGATCAAAGAAAAAACAGGTTAATTATGGCATTGCTGAGGCAAATGAATTATTGCACACCTAACTAAAAAACTCTGAAGAACATCATGTACTCACTAGAAGATCAACATAAATACAGTTACAATTCTGAACTAATTACAAAACTTAATGCTACAGCTGGTGCTTCCTTTATAATTTTGATGATGATGGTGCACATATGATCCATTTTGTGGCTGGAGTTCTCATCTTGGGGTCTCCCAATGGTGTGAATATTGTGGTAATCATCTATCATCAGCAAAATTGTAAAAATTTTGTTGATGGCTTCTTTGATTGAATCATTGCACATATAAAAACTAGCATCTGCAATAGCTGCCTTATTTCTAGTAATTACTTTGCTGGAGACAGAAGTACCAAGTTTTTGTAGGGTTGCAATATCAGTTTGAGGTAGGTTACAAAATTTAAGAATTAAACCATTACCTTCTTGAAAAAATTAAACTTTTGTGAGTAACCTACGCATAACTGATACAAAAAAACAACAATGTGTTTCTGATTTAAAATAACTCTTTCACTTGAATGGCAAGAAGAGGTTATGCAGGAGAGGATGAAATTGAAAACATTTGCTGCCCCAGCATTGCAACAAAACTTAAAAAAAATCAGAAGGCTCATAAATTGGTGTTTTCCCCTCCCTTAAACAATGGTTTTGTAATGCTTCTTGGAGTTTTCTGATCTCATCTCTGAAAGTTTGACCTGAAAAAAGAAAATGGAAGGGTGATATCAAATACAGTTCAAGGTAGTGTCTTAATTTTTTTACTCCTGATAAGGGGTCCGGATTAAGAAGACTAAACCTTTAGGAAATTGACCTGAGGCACAAAAAGGGGTTTTTGATGAAAAACATCTGATGCAAAGGTAAGTACACAGGGTTTTGCTTAGCTCAAATGGAAACAGGTCTTTCAATTTCAAGTGAGTTGAGTCTTTTCTTTCCCCTTATGTTAAGCTTATAAACATATTCCAATATTTAACCTGCGGTGACGATAATATTTGTTCATGAAGCAGATTACGTGACATTAAAATTTAAATTTAATTAAAACAATGAAAAAATGCCTGAGACAAAGTTTAAGCCTCAATAAAATGTTATGATTTCTTTCATCAATCACGAAGATAACCAACCTGTTGCGCGAAGAAACTCGGGTAAAATTTCCGCACAGCCCCATACTACATTATGCATTCAGTTCTTGGATAGAGAAAACAATGACAAAAACAATACATTGCCATTGGGAAAACAAATTTGTTTTACAATAGTATGGGGCTGTGCGGAAATTTTACCAGAAATAAGAACGCACAAAATGAACTAGTTTTGCATGCTGAAATTAAAGGTTACCTTTCTCGGCTGTTGAACGTTCTGCATGATCAACAGTTGCTGTCTCACCTGGCTTGCCGCGTTCCCTTCGCAATTTATTATAACATTTGATACACACGTTTGAGCCCTCCCAGCCAATAAATCGTGTTTTAGAACGAGTTTTTTCTTAGTGAGCACATCTACTAAGAAACATAGCTTTGCGAAAGGTAAGTTAAGCAGAGAACTCGATATTGATACAAAAGCCGTGTTTAGTGCCTACGGTGACCCATAACTGTCACGCCAAACCAGAAAGTCACGGCAAAACAAAGAAAACGAGTTGGTCAGCGGTTGTTATTTGCAACCGAAATGGTACGTCGTGTAATAGTAACAGTAACACACTGCTCGCTCGAAAAACCGCCATTTTTCGAGCTCACGATGGTTTGCACCGCGTGTGGTTCGGTAGTAGATGAAGATGCAAACTTTTGTAAAAGCTGTGGTAGAGGTACGTTTCTTAATTTAAAGTGTTCGTATTTGCATTTCTTTTAGTTCCAAATAACAATAGGCGTGAGAAGACACCGCTACAAATTAGCATGTTTCTGGAATAAGATTGTGCATGTAGCCTGTATGTAAAAAGAAAACATTCTTAATGTATAGGCCTTGATGAAATAAGGATTTATCAACAGATGGAAAATACTGTACGCCTGTAAACAGTCAGAGAGCACGAGATTAAAGGCCAAAACATTCCTGATTATTTCCAGAATCATTTATCTTGAGTTTTATTGATGTTAAACAGACTTAAGGAAATAGCACTGTTTAAAGTAAAGTTTCCTCAGAGGTGTAAGCTACATTATTTTGCTTCATTATTTTTTTCCACCTGTTGAAAAATCCTTAACTCATCGAGGCACATACATTTTGAATGTTTTCTTCTTACACATAGGCTACACGCACAATCTTATCCCAGACACGTGCTAGTCAGCTAGTTTGTAGCAGTGTCTTCTCACGCCTATCGTTATTTGGAACTAAAAGAAATGTAAATACGAACACTTTAAATTAAGAAACGTACCTCTACCACAGCTTTTACAAAAGTTTGCATCTTCATCCACTACCGAACCACACGCGGAGCAAAACATCGTGAGCTCGAATCAAAGTGCTCTGTGAGCAAACTCTTGAATTGACAGATGACTTACATGATTTTTTGGATTATGTTTAATGTTATCTGGCTTAGGGAATTTTGTGGTTGATTGTCATATTTAGAGTACGAGCAGTAGTTCAGTGTTCACTAATGTAGCAAAGAAACAAAGTAACGTTGGGATAAGAAGGCATTACAATTGAAATGATCATGCCATTACATTTGATAAGGGTGGATGATGTCATGTGTTTTAAACATATATCATTTTTGTTTCTGGTTCAAAAGAAAAGGTTGGAAGTAAATGTGGGTGAAAAGTGAAATTTACTGTCTATCATTGTAAATATTGGAAAATCAAGGCAATACTGTCTTAATGAAAACATTAATGATTCCCTCTTCATCAAATGAGACAAACGGGAACGAGTTTTGAGTGATATAACTAAGTCCAGACTGCCACCGTCATTTTGGATTTCCGCCTGGGTAGATTTTGGTCACGCGCTAGGCAACGTATAGTGGAGAACAAGACAGAATTTCATTTCAGGCCTATTTATCAATTTTGGGGTGAATAACTTTCGAATTTTAGTACGTTTAAACTTAAAAGAAAATTGTTCTTTAAAAATACACTGAAAATCGGTTGCCAAAATTATTTGTTTAGGTGTTATTTGATTTTCGTGTTAACCTGTAATTTCGTCAGTCGCCGGCACCTTTTATTGCTTCACACAGAGAAAACACACGATATGAAATGTAGTGGTCGATTTTGTCCCCAATCTCACGCCATAACAGAAAAAGCTTTTGAACACCTGTAAACTCTGAGCGCTTCGGAGTAAGTGATAATTTTAATGAATCTTCGGATTGTTTTCAAGTTCGAGGATTGTAAATTACAATTTTACGAAAAAAAAGAAGGTTGTTCTCTTACTTCATTGCGAATCCTCGCACGCCTGCCAGTCACTGGCGCCGCTTGTTGAAACTAAAACGAATAAATATAAACTCTTTAAAGATTATCATTGGCTTCTTTTTCACCTCACAACTGCCGAGACCACAAAGGTCGCCATTTCGTTTGTTTACTGTTACACGACGTACTATTTCAGATGCAAATAACAACCGCTGACCAACCGCTGACCAATTCGTTTTCTTTGTTTTGCCGAGAGTTAATTTTGTTTTGCCGTGAGTTAATTTCGTTTTGCCGTGAGTAAAGTTTTTAGTGCCGTTAATTTTTGTTTTGCCGTGACAGTTGTGGGCCACCGCACTTTGCTCCTCCTCAAGGCCTAAAAGAAAAAGACTCCCGACAATTTGAACGCCCCTTGCGAACCTTTTCCCGCCGTTTATGATTTAAAAAAAAAAACCGACAATTATGTCAATTCTCAAACGGACGATCGAAGGAGGCCATCAAACGCCTACCTTTCGGCAATCGTCTTTGTTAATCACCATTCTGTAACCGGTCGTCGTTGACAATCTTAAAGTGCCTGTTTTCCGGCCGCACGCGTTAAGGAAACTGGACGCAGGTTTCCTGGACAAAGTTCAGGAGCTGATTGGATGCCACCGCGTCTTATGTTGACCAATCACGTTAGAATATATGAAAAGCATTATGCGCCTATTTTATGACGTTCTGAGTAGGACAGAATGATGGAGGATGAGCATACAGTTGATTATTTGGGAGATTCGGGAAGAAAGAGTCTTGGTGCGTGCGTTAAAGTAACCCTAGTTCCAAAAGCCCCGAAGAAAAATTTTTTTAGGTCGAACAGCTTCGACGAGTCGTCCGAAGAGCCAAAGTATGCAGATTTAAAGGAAGCAAACAATACAAGCATCGATGGCGATGTGCTCTGCAGTAAGATTACGGACATTCAGGAATTTTATTCAGATGAACACGGAGGAAAAAGGCTTTGTAAACTTATCAAAAGCGAAATACGTGAGTTTGAATGGGGAATAAAGCCATGCGTTTTTGAACTCCGAGCCAAAGACTCAATTAGTGGACACACCAAACACGAAGGAGTCGAAGCTTCTCATGGGCGTTTAAAGGAAACAGAGAATAGTGTTGACGAGCTCGGAGCTGAAGGCATTGGTGGATACAACGGAAGAAAAGGAATCGAAACCAGTTGTGACAATGTAAAGGAACCGAAGCATCCTGTACATGGCTCTGGGTTTATTCTTCATGACCATTTTGTTGTCACTAGCAAACATGTGATTAAACCTGATTTAAACGACCAAGGAGAAAGATACGACGTCTATATTTCCAATGCCATCATTGGTAAGCTTCCATGCAAGGTTTTACTTGTTGACGAGCGCCAGGATTTGGCAATTCTCCTTTGCCAACAACTTGATTTAGAGAAAAATGGAATCCGTTCCTTGTGGCCGACGAACCATTCATTGTCACCAGTTCTGCCAATTTTTTGTTTTGGTTATCCCTTGAGTTATAGAGGTGAGAGAGCACTTGCTGTTTTTGGCAAAGTTTGTTCACAAGAGACTTCATCAGACTCCCCACTGGTCCCACTAGAATGCCCTCTTGACTCAGGAAATTATGGCAGCCCAGTACTCTGTAGGATCAGTGGTCAGTTAAAAGTAGTTGGTATAATAACACAGAAAAACATTCAAGGGATTCAAACACAGAACTGGAGAGACGACATCAAATGTGTACAGGAATCATTGCAGATTATTGCCAGTCGTCAACTACAAAGCTACCAAACAGCACCTTTGTGTACTTCTGACTCAGCTTCAAAGTATTTGGAGGTTCATAGGCTATATGACATTCTGAAGGCAAATAATCCCTTTTGTGCAATTCCAGGAATTTGCATAGTTGATTTTATCAAAACCTTTGCCAAAAAATATGAAGGCAAGTTCAAAGAAGAGTTAAGGGAGATAATCAATTGCATTGATATTCTTTCATAGTTATCATTATGAACTGCATTTTAACAGAAGCCCCACCCCCAAGGACAGATTGTCAAAAGTCGGAGAAACCACAAATCAGTATGTGTTCCAACCATGATGAATACATGCTGCCTTTTCTTGGTAGTATAGTCATTTAACAGTTGGGTTTTCCAGTCTTAACCCTTTAATTCCCATGAGTGACCAAGACAGAATTTACAGGCATAAGATATCTGTGTGCTTAGCTGTAGGTTTCCAGAATTTTAGATTGTTGGACTCCACTGTAGATTTGATTGGCTGTAAAGAATTTATCTAATCTAACACCTATATATAAATTAAGGGCAATTTTTTTAGAAGCAGGTTTCTTTCTTGTCAGAAAGGTATGTTATCTTAACATTATGCACAATCCTTCGTTATTTGAGAGCCATTGTAACTTAAAACTCACTCCTGTTTAATTAAACATTTTCAAGTGATGTATGAGTACAGATTGTTTACAATAATGATTATGTGACTAGATACCACTTCAGACTCCTATATATTGTTAAAAAGACTGTAGCATGTTATCACATAATTAAAGCAGGGTTTTCAGAGCAAATGTAGTTGTTAGAGTTCCTTAGCCACTAAGGTGAGCAGGTTAATGTCATTTTATCTTGCATTTCATGAAGGACATCGTTATTTATTGAATTGTAGCAGATAGGAGCACAGCAGTAAATTGAGTGCACATGCTTGTAATGCGTGCAAAAAGGAATGGGAATGATAATATTTCCATAGTAACGCTATAGTGGCAATATGGCAGCATTTCTAAAATTCATATTGTTTGTTTTTTCTTTCACAGGGATAAGCCCTGGCCTTAAAAAATAAGTCCTCATTTTTCAAGAAAGTTTCTTTCAAACCTGCTCTGCAACATATATTTCCCAACCAAAAAAATTGTTTAGGCTACAGGTGTGAATTTTAATACTGAAGTTGAGCATGTGTAACATGGCTACAAACTTCATAGCCAGTATTATCATCATAGCACTTGTTTTTCTATCGCCTCCTCCATAGGCAAAAAAGTTTGTTGTCTGGGAGAAAAAACACCCCATAGCTCTTTTTTTAGAGGAAGGATAATTGCTTTTAACACTGAAATGGTGGAGGTAGAACCAAGAAATGTTTTATGTGAATTTCATGATCAGCAGTTATGAAATAAGAGCAACATCTGATTGTGCCTACTACCTTTACATTCTTCCACTCTGAGTGATACACCTATTTCCATGACACTGTACAAACTACTTGACAAGGCTGGAAAAAGTAAGGCTTGTTATCACCTAGGTACCTGCTGGTGCACAAGTTGTTGGAGAAACAACAACAAAACGTTTGCCACAAAGACCACTCATAAAAAGCCAGTCAGGAGAAAAATGTTAGATAGTTATATTCCAAGGCTGTCATCTCCAGCTGGATTTTCTAGGTTTCCATACTTCACCCATTTACATAATAAACAATAAAAAAAATGATTGATAAAAACATTATCACCATGTTTGCACAAGAAGATCAATAACCTAAGTAACACATTCATGCAAAATGGAGATGGAGTGCCATGCAAAATTCAGTCAGAGTGCCAAGCAGACTTGACAGATGGTCAATGTGATTAACAAGCTATGGCAGTTAAATGTATGCTCCAAAACTTACTACTCTACCACAATTCAATAGCTCAACAGAGAGATTCAGAAAATTGGTGCACAGACTGGTCCACCCAATTTCTCAACACCACTTACTTATGCCTGGACATAATCTAAGAAAGGTAACTAATCCACCATATTGCTAATAATCATAGTTATGCCATGATTGCACCTGAAGGGTTGAACATCTCCAGGACAACACCAATCAGGTAAGGATATAATACTGATAAAGGTTCTGCTCTGTGCTCATATTATACAGTTAAATACATGTTCATTGTTGAAAATATTTCTATACGACTCACAGAGTCTGGTCGAATACATTAGAACTAAATTTTCTATATAATCTTGCAGAGCTGGTGGAAAGATTTCATTTAGCCTTGTACAGGCACTATGAGAGTGGGGTCAATCTCTGTACAGATCCAATGATATGCAGGCATTTTGTGAAACTCGTGCACCACATTTCTTTTGCATCCTCGTTAATACAATAGTGAGTACTGATGGACATGCCACCAGTGAGAGGCATTCACATTTACAGCGGCAAAAAATAGTTGCATTCCTTAACATGTTGCCTTACTTTAGGTATTTACTTCAAATTACAATGTAACTGCCTAAAGTTTTGCTATTCGAAGAATAAAAATTGTTATATTTTATATAATTTACAAAATTTCCATGTCAACTTTATTCTGACAGTGTCAGCAGTCACTGGTACAAAACAACCTTTGTACTTGAATATGATAACAGGAATAATGTGCAATTTCCCTTAGATCCCAGAAAACATCACAGCTTCAGAAATAACCTGAAATGTTCCTTGATATTCATGGGTTGAATTACGGTCAAGTCGCCGACGGTTCAACTCGCCAACGCCAACTCAAACATAGAGAAACGTAAAAGATATTTAGTGAAAATACAATTTTGTTTTCTTCCAACAAATTTTTTAAGGATCTCATAGTGAATAAATGTTTTTTTAACTTTAACTCGTTCGCTTCTGAACTTTTCGATATGTCTATCTTCTAATAAGTTGTACTGGATTGAAGACCAACTCGCCGACGTCTCTACTCGATTTTACACGTCAGCGAGTTGGCGTTGGCGAGTTGAACCGTCGGCGACTTGACTGGATACCCATGGTTTAACCAGGTCTGCACAGACTGCAGGGAGAATCTTGGGCTTCCGCAGAGGAATATGTATGAATGACATGTTTAACCAGCAGAAGGCAAAACAACCATGAGGAAGTTGTGTGCTGACAGCCTGCAGGATAAAGCAGAACAAATACAATGAACGATAAACATAAGTCACTTTTATAAAAACATAAGCAATCAATTAAAGTGATATTCGTTTTTTTTTCCCAGACCAAAAGACTTGTTATCCATCTCATTGATGCTTTTCATGTTATGAATGTGCCTACTAAACTATTTGATAAAGCCAGTGCAGCAATAAATAAGGCATTCATGTCCCAGCCATAGCATGACCCTTTTCTAACAAGAGTAACTGAGTGAAGTGATTCCTACAATTTAACAAATAGAGAAGCCTTGACTGTGCTCTGTTCTGTTATAAGGCACGCAGGAAGCGGCTATAGCACGAAAGAAGTGTAGGGAGAAACACGAGACGTAGTCGAATGTTTCTTCCCACTTCTTGAGTGGGAAGAAAACAACAGTGTCGTCAGCATGCTCTATACTCTCATAAAGCACGCTACAATGAGCCAATCAGAATTCCTGTTAGAACGGTTCAAATAATCTGATTGGCTGTACAAGACTAAAGCTGTCAAAAGTGTCAAACCATCAAAGTTCAAAAACGATCACATTCTACTATAGTTCACAAACTGAAATAGTTCGGCAAGTCGAATTTAACATTTTTGCCTGAAGTTTTTAAGTCTCTAATACAGAATCTTAAAGTGAAATGTTCAGTGAACTTCAGCCGAATTATGGCTCATAAAAATACGCGAGTTTTTTCACATGACAAGGTAGAAAACAAACTGTTCAAGGCGAGTGTTTTTTGAATGACAGCCGAATTCACCGAAACATGAAGATCGCTCGGGATACGGCAAAACTCGGCTGCAGTGACTTTCCACTCAACGTATCGGAAAGGATATCAGAGCAAGCTCTTATTTTTTCACTCGAAGGGCGGCCGATATAGTTTCTGAGACTTGCTTTACCGTGATGACCGGAGATCGCCATGATGAGCGAGCCGCGATGGACTTCGGCATAATCATATTCGCTCAGACACCGTCATGATTAGAATGAATTTTAACAGTTATGCCAGTTTGGTTGTATTCTTCATCATTTCTGTTTGCTCTGTTTTGTTTTTGAACACTGAACTTTAAATACTATATGAGTGTTCGCTGTGTTTGATTTTTATTTCCGTACGTAAGCTTGCAATCTAACTGAGCGTGAATTAATCTTTAAAACTCGGAATGTTTATTTTGTTTTTCCTTTGAGGATTTTCGCATCTGCTCACGTTTTAATAACGTAAATTACGGCGCCTGGTTTGTTTACAAACCTTTATTTGGTTCTTCTGTTGCTACTTGCCGGCTCGCTTGTTCCGAAATTTCACTTTCAATTATCGGAACAAAGCTAAAAAGAAGTCCCGGAAAAGGTCGAACATAGCACAATTTGGCAGATGGCGTGACAGCTTTAGCTCAGCTCTATGCTCTATACTCTCTTATTATATACTCAACAAAATATCGCGTTTCTGATTGGTCAATGATGAATGCATAAATAGGTTATAGAGTGCAATAGAGGTTATAGAGTGCAATAGAGGTTATAGAGTGCAATACGGAGAAGTTGCCATGGAAACACCGAGGAAGCGCCAAATTTGAAAACCAAATTATAAAAAAATCGAGAACATAATAAATAAAAAATCGTATGAAACTGCTCGTGCATTTCGTGATTTATGGACACTCGTGATGTTTTGAAAGTTCTCAAATTGCACTCGCCTACGGCTCGTGCAATTTTGAGAACTTTCAAAACATCACTCGTGCCCATAAATCACGAAATGCACTCGCGTTCATACGATTTCCTATACTTATTATATACTCAACAAAATATCGCGTTTCTGATTGGTCAATGATGAATGCATAAATAGGTTATAGAGTGCAATAGAGGTTATAGATATATAAGTTGCCATGGAAACACCGGGGAAGCGCCAAATTTGAACACCAAATTATAAAAAAATGGCCGAGAATATAATAAATAAAAAATCGTATGAACCTGCTCGTGCATTTCGTGATTTATGGTCACTCGTGATGTTTTGAAAGTTCTCAAATTGCACTCGCCTACGGCTCGTGCAATTTTGAGAACTTTCAAAACATCGGTAATTGTGAAGAAGAGCTCCCCAAAAAACCTGTCGGCCGACTGTCGGTCAACTGTCGGCCGA